TCAGGGTATAGCTATCCGGTCAGGCGATGTCGAGCTCGAAGTATTTAATATATACATTCCCCAGTTACATGTTGCCCTACAGGATATCACCCGAATATAGATGCGCTACTTCGTGGTGAAAATCGTTTGGTRCTAGGCGACTTTAACGCGCACTATGATCTTTGGCATTCCTGCCTGTCAAATGATCGTAGGGGGATGGAGCTGGCGGAACAGATTGACTATTCGACATTCTGCACAATGAGTGACGAAGTCCTCACCAGAATTATGGGCAACTGTAATAGCTCGCCTGATATTACCATCGCTAGTGGTGGTCTGATAAATAGCATAACCTGGCGACCTATGCTAACTCTCGCATCAGACTATCTTCCCATAATTATCTCGATCGAGAAGTCTCCTGATTTCGTTTCTGTGGACAACCATACTAACTTTAAAAAAGCTAATTGGGTCGGCTTCACGGAATTTACCGAGAGCACTTTCAACGCTCTACCCATTCTTACGGAYGTATGCGTTAGCGAACATCAATTCCGCAAGGTGATCGCAGCACCTACCACTCACTTCATTCCGGCAGGAAGAATAGCGGAAATCCGTTTCAATTTCCCAGCCGAAGCAGCCGTTTTAGCTAATGAGCGCGACACCTTACGCCATCCCGATCCCGGGGATCCCCGAATAAGGGATCTCAATTTGGAGATTCGGCGTATGGTAAACCATCATAAGCGGAYGAAAYGGATAGAGCACCTGAAGTCCTGCAACCTCTCCACCGGTGTGAGTAAGCTTTGGGCAACTGTCAAAGCTTTGTCTAATCCGAAGACACATGACGACCGCGATAAAGTTCAATTCAATGGTCATTGCCTCCTCGGACCCGAAGAAGTGCGCGAGCTATTTTAGCCGGCAGTTTACACTGCCCCATTCGGTAGACAAAGCTAAGAGATGTGTTAACCGATGGCTGCGCAAAATGCCAAACAACTGCGCACCGCTTACTTTCTCCGTTGAAGAGGTTCAGAGTTTCCTCAAGAAAGCAAAATCATCCAAATCCAYTGGCCCTGATGGAATGAATATGCTAATGGTAAAACATGATAAAACAGGCTCGAAAGGAGTAAGTTATCTCACCAAGGCCCTCAACCTGTCGCTGAGCACTCTTCAAATACCCGATGAGGGGTATCTTATCGCCCRATAACTTTCTTCTCCTCAGTAGTGAAGACACTTGAGGCCTTGCTACTCCCGACTTTCACCTACCACCTGAGCCTAGCCAGTCACCAGCATGGATTCCATAAAGTGCACAGTACCGCCACAGCACTTAGCGTCATAAACACTCAGATAGTCCATGGCCTCAACCAGAAACCACCCTGTGAGAGGACGATCCTCGTAGCGTTGGATTTGTCGAAAGCTCTCGACACAGTCAACCAAACAATGCTACKGCAGGACATTGAAAAAACTTCACTTAGTCCAGGGCTTAAGAGGTGGACTATGTACTATTTGAATGGTAGTCAGTCATCCGTACTATTTCGAGGTGAARCATCTAAACTGAGAAGAATTAAACTGGGGGTTCCGCAGGGTAGTGTCCTCTCCCCGCTACTGTTTAACTTCTACATCTCGAAACTCCCACAACCACCAGAGGGGTTTCCATAACCTCGTACGCAGATCACTGCACGATATTGACGTCGGGCAATGGAATCGATGGAATGTGTTCGAAGGTAAACAACTATCTTTCCGACCTTTCTCGTTTCCTCACTGCTCACACTTTCCCCCCACCAAATCCATAGCAACCATATTTACGAACTGGACGAAGGGGTATAGACTTGAGCTTAAGTGGATGACGTCAAAATTCCGACTGTCAATAACCCTAAGATTTTAGGAGTAACTTTCGATAKTCTATGCTCCTTCTCTCTTCATATGACCGCGGTTATCACCAAAGTACAGAGCCGCAACAAGATCCTCAAGTCGCCAGCCGGCAGCACATGGGGAAAAGACAAAGAAAGGTTGTTGCCAACTTCSAAGGTAATCGGCTGGCCGGTCCTTAACTACGCAGCACCAATATGGTCGCCTGGATGCAGTGCAACGCAGATGAGGAAACTTCAGACCTGCCAGAATACTGCACTCCGGACCACGACGGGATGCCTTTTGATGTCTCTCATAGAACACMCCCATAGTGAGACGCTTATGCTTCCTCTAAAGCAGCATAATGAACTCTTCTCCAGACAGTTCCTGGTAGGATGTTTCCGTAGGAATCACCCTTGCAGCCATCTGCTTGGAGCGGTGCCGCCTCTTAGGAACATCAAAAGGTCCTTCCTTGACTACGTCGACGACGTCGTACAGTACGTCCACCGGACTTCGGACGCAAGTGACTTTCGACAGGTACTGACCGCCATTCACAGTGGATCCATCAACACCTTCACCGCCTCCAGTTGCCGCGAATAACGCGATTGGCCCTAGCGCAACTTCGTTCTGGATATTGTAGCACGTTAAACTCCTACTTATCCAGAATCGACCCTGACATACCCAATGTATGTCCTGGATGCAACGAGTCCCCGCATGATACTGGCTAACTGTTTGCATGCCCCACAAACCCTACTCATCTAACACTCTCCTCCCTTTGGTCCGACCCCGTCGAAACAGCACGTTTCCTGGGCCTGGTTATCTGAATTAAATTTAGTGAGTGTACTTTTCTCCTAGTGTTGTATCTCTGCGTTTAAAAATGATAAAACGGTATAAGCTTGTCATGAAGCCAAGTCAGGTACCTTATTGGCAAAAATTGAAAAAATGGGATCAATACCCCTAAACCYCATATGCTACATATACGAGGTCAGTTCAAATGAAATTGTAGAATGACGTCAATAGCGATCCACATTTTCTTAAGAGAGTAATAACTGGTGCCGAATCATGGATATATGGTTATAACATCGAAACCAAAGTCCAATGCAAATTCTTTAATCCATTTTTTTCGACAGCAGGCAATTTCCGAACACGCAAAGCACGTCTAACATTTATATTTCTCATAAAAAAATAAATAACCTAAATAGCTGAAACCGTGAATATATGTATATTTGACGTAGAGTCAACTGAAATAACAAACATTACAATGAATATAACATGTGTCCAGCTTTTCGTCAAAACTGCAGTGTATCCAAGAYAGCCTGCTAACTTAATAATCAGATTATCGATAATTATTTTTCCTGCATTTTATTTTCAGGATTCTAAGGCTCTGCGATCTTAACTAAATCTACAGTATTATTCTTATTGTTAAACTTGATGCTTATGCTTATTATACTCAACCATGGGGGATTAGAGAAAATTTTCTCCCGATTTTATCCAGTTTAGGGTCTAAAGTACACCGTTGGGTGTATTTCATATTAACTGATATTTTAGGTTAAAAGTGAGGTCTAAGTTTCGGGGGTCTCATTTTCGGTTTCTGAGATGGTACTCCTTAAAGGCATTATTCGTGAAAAGTTTCATTTCATTATATTTATATACTGGACCGTGAAAAAACCTATGGAACTTAAATTAGCTGATTTAGGTATGTATTCCAATTTCGTCTATCCTCGAACTGTAACATGGAAATGTCATTATAATGATATTTACCAATTCGGTTATCTATCATTCGATTTACCTTATTTTCACGCTGTGGCAAGAGGTCCAGAAAATGGTTACTTTTTGCATATTATATATACTAAACCTATAAGAAGTCGGTCACGCCCACTTCAAATTTCAAACTATAAATGTTTTTCGTTACTTTAATTTACGGCTTAGTAATGGCAATTTATTAATGACGTGGCAGTGGTCCGATTATGCCCATAACATGAACAAAATTTCATGAAGATCTCTAAATTTTACTCATATTGCTGCTTATATTGTCAGAGAGGCAGACATCCGGATTCAGCTCGTTAAATATATATAACACCATATCCAAAGGACGTTAGAATTCCTACCTTAACTACAATTTGTGTTCAAAGTTTTATTTTGACTTTGATCATTGATTTGATTTATAAAGTGTAAAGTGAAGGAATCATATATTGGAAGTGGGCAAGTAGTTACTGAGGTATAGGATTGTGCCCAAAGTTGGGTGATGTCACACCCATTTCTATGAAGCCTTTTTGTACCATCTCGAGTATAAATTTCAATGATTCTGTTATATGGGACGTGGGAGTGGTTATATGCCAATTTTACCCATTTTCACATCGTGGAAGGAAGTACCTAGCAAAATTATTGCTATATCTTAAGAGCTTCGTGAAATATGGAAATTATGCCTATTGAAATCCTATATAGTACAGTCTATAAGTTTCCGTTTAGTGGAAATTTGTGGGCTAGGCAACAATCCAATTTTGTGCAATACCAACCTTAATTGGATTCCATGGAAATTTCATTTTTATCAAATTTCGTCAGGGTATCTAGCTTTTTACTCAAGTTGTCGTTTCCACAGATGGAAGGACGAACAGACAATCACCCGGAACTCAACTCATCTCATCATCTTGGTCATTTATACTCGTGTATACCTAACTCTTTATTTACATATATCAATTAGTTTGTTACAAAAATCCGTTAGGCAAACAAAACTATAATACTCTGTAGCAACATGTTGCCTAAATTTGAAAATATTTGTAGGAAGGAAAATGTTATAATCAAGATTTAAATAATTTTCTACCYCGGCGTTTTATTCTACTACACCAAAGTCGATAAAATGGCAATTGAACTAAGCTGTGCTAAAATTTATTTCGGATGTCTCCTTAAAATACCTAAGAAGGTGTTAAATAGCCGATATTTATATATTGTATATGAAAGTAGGCGTGAATGTTTTTGAATTTTTGTACGTATTTACCTCAAAGACGAAAGCTAAAATAGAAATAGCCTGCAGTGGAAACTGGTAAATGTAAGTGTTAGTCTTTKCAATTGCTGCAGTTTTCCTATTTGTTTACTTTGCGAATTAGGAATTTTATTGTGGCTCACTTTAGTGTTCTGTATTAGGCTGCGTTCACACATGTACTCTTTTGCCGCCCATAATCAGCAAATTTTCATTTGAGTAACTCATCTTTCATATAACATGCAAAAATATGCATAGTTTCATAATAAATAACGATATAAGATATATTAAATTTTCAATGATATTGTAAATATTCATTGGAAATAGAGAGAYATTTTTGTCAAACCCTACTAAATTGAAAAAACATGTGACTGAAAGTACTACCAACCTAAAAAAAAATAATTCTCCAAATTCTTCGACGCACGCAGTTTAAATTCAAATGTCTTTATTTTTTGGGCTAGGCCGATCAATATATGTATCTTGGAGCGTGTTCGTCCTCAGTCATGTTTTCATGCGGCAAAGTGTAGAACAAAAGCGTTCAGAGCTCGAATTCGTCACAAAAAGTGTGCGGAATTTGCGAAGTAAACTATAAATTATGGGGTATAGGTCTACATCACAGTTCCCCCATTTCCCGCATCGGAATCCGCCACTGACAAGAACGACAAGAATTGCTGAAATCCGGGTAACTATCTGTTTGTCCGTCCATCATCTGTGCAAGCTTTAACTTGAGTAGAAAATCCCACAAAACTCAATTAACGGAAAACATATAAAATGCCATAACTAAGCACTTTAATAAGATATAGTATTTGTTACAAAGTATCCCATGTGATGTGATATTCTTCTTATATTCCTATGTTATAGTGTGAAAATGGATGAAATCGGCCCACAGCCACACCTACTAACACAATTTCAAATTCCATTTAATTCTTTCACTTTCCAGTGTACAAATCAAGAAGTAATTAATATAACCGGGACAAAAATTTGCACTAATAATTCTTTTAAAGTATACCATCTTATGACCAAAAATGACAACCGATTTGGGTCAACACTACCCCAACTCCCAAATACTACATACAATGATTTTCGTCTTGCTAATAAACCGATAATTTCGATCAGTATCTGAGTTATATATGTTTTATGTATATAAAGAATTGCTTGGGTTTCGATCCTCTGRTTGGCATATTACATCTTCAGGTATTTTCTTAGCTTTTATTCCTGATATATTGGAGCTATTTTAAGCTTTTACTGGTAAAATAACGTTACACTTGTTAGAGCTTTAAAAAATGTCACATATTATTGACAGCACAGCTGCTCATTGTAAAAAACTTTCTCCAAAATGTTAAAGTTTCCTTTTAAGTTGAAACTATTACTACGTAATATGATTTTATATACAACTTATTTGAAAAAGGAGGTAAGAGAAACAGAGAATTTTGCAGTTTTATTGAGAATTAGATCTAAATTCTTACTCATCTGCTTTAAGTTACAGTCAATGTTTCGATACTGTTACTGTTTGTAAAACTAATATATACAATTCGATATTAATTTGAAAAAACTAATTCAGTTTCATAAAATTAAATAATAACTTACTACTATATATACCCACCATCCTTGTTTTAAGAACCTGAAATTTTATGTATCATACCTACCCTTAGAATTAATCTGCAATAAGTTATAGTCTTTATGTTACTATAGTTTCAGAATTAATTTCTCACGAATTTATACTAAACATTTATAAGCATATAATAAC